TACTAAAAAGTTACTTAAGTTATTTTGAGATTTAAAGGGAATTTTTGTGCTAGGTATGGTATTTTCTATAAATTTGGAAATAACAGTACACATATTCTGATCAAAATAAGGTAAAGAAAAATATTTCACAGAAGGTAAACTAACCAAAGTGGTAGAGTTGAAGGTCAATCTTCTATCTGATCTGTGTTTAAATTTACTAATTAATTTGTGAATAATAGATGTTTAATAACCTTTCCAGACAGCAATCTGTTTTAAAGTATTCAATTCTAAATTAGAATTGGTGGGTGATAAAAGAGTGTTCAACAATCTGTTGACATAACAATTGAAGGAAATCATTTTATGTTGCATAGGATGAAATGAATTGAAGGGGATGACATGATCAGTCTGGGTTGGTTTTCTGTGAATGGAAAAATCTAGTTTGTTTTCAATTTTGGTTATAGTAAAATCTGAAAAGTTTATTTTATTATCTTTTTCTAATTCAAGGGTGAATTTGATTTTTGGATGTAACTTATTTTTCAAGAATGTCATGTGCCAAATTGGAATTGCCATCTATGGAAACTAGGCAGTAATCAACATATCTGTACCAGCTGAGAATCTTATCAATTTTATTACTTACTTTCAGATGAGCACTGATGATGACGAAAGTCGATAGCGCTTTGCAATAATTTTATAATTATACACTTTCATACAAAAACTTTTTCATTCATTCAATAAGTGTATTCAGCTTTCCAAATCTATTTATTATGTGGTTGTTTCCAGAGACTGAAAATTAAATACTTACTTGACATTCAGCTACTCTGTGAATCCGGAATATACGATCGGCACGTACAATTCACGCTTTCCTCGCATAATATTTTCTCTAAAAGTACTCTTGTTGACAATGCAATCGTTATAACCGAATTATTCACAAACTAAATCGCTCAGTACCAATTGATCGTGAACATTTGCTCAATATATACCCCTAGTATGGAGTTCAGCTTCTTATTCAACAACATCCACTACATTGATCAACTTTTTTTCATTTACATCAATTGCAAACTACTTTTTATAGAAAATCCATTTACAAATTGTTTTTTTAGGAACAAGAATAGGACAAGCTTCAGATTGCTTTGTTTACTGGAAAGATCCCATGACCAATGACACGTGGGGTTTGAATTTCACCAGCCCCATCGACGCGAAGCAGTTCAGGGAATGTTGTGTAAGTATTTAGGTACTCTGTTCATTGTTGAATTATCTAATAGAATTAGTAAAAAAATATGTTAAATAGTTTTATTAAAAAAAAAAAGATGTAGAAAATGTACTGAAGCAAAAAAATAAATCGTAAGGTCCTAGGTAGTAGTTATCATACCACACTTCTCAGTAATCTACGGTACTGATCAGATAAAAAAATAATAAAGTCATTGGGCGTAGCATAACCTGGGTAAATATGTAAATACTACGCCCAACGATTACATTATTTTTTCATCTGATCAATACCGTAGATTGAGGAGGAGGAGGAGGAGGAGAGTGGTGTGATGACTGCTACCTAAGACCTCCCAAATTATTTTTTAGCTTTCAGTACATTATCTACATTCTTATTATCTTTTTTCCCACTAATACCGTTCAACATATTTTTTTTACCAATAATTTATTTTTCTTTCAGTTTCATTATTATTTACCATGTCCTTTCTACGAGAAATAGACATTATAACAGTCGATCCCCCTCAGAGGTCTGATTGGTGGGCAAGGCATTGTATACAATGTGCCTGATTTTTGAGAGAAAAACGCTAACAACATATCATTTTTATCCATCCTAATACCACACATTTCACGGCATATTTTAACCTTTTACCTTAATTTGGGTGGTGTACCGCTAACGGCGTATCAACACGATACAAAATCTTGATTCGGGTGGGAGATCCATGCTTGTTTTCGATTCTCAGTTGACAAAGTTCTTTTTATAGGTTATATTGGATTTGCATCTTTTTCATAGTATACTACTATAGTACTAGTCAAGCCCTGTCATTTCAAAACCCATATTGAGGTAGTTGTGAAATAATATGTAACCCGCCATTTTTTAGCTGCGGCCATTTTGAGTTCGCATTTTTTTTGAAGTGTACTATTATTCTACTAGTCAAGCCCTGTCATTTGATATCTATATCGAGGAAGTTGTGAAAAAAAATGTAATCCGCCATTTTGTAGCTGTGGCCATCTTAGATTTACACTGATACAGAATTCTTTATCCGTATTCAAGTCGGTACAGTACGTCACACTCATATCATGATCCACCCTGTTTATACATCTCACTAAAAAGTCTTCCATAAAATTTCTTTGGGGTACTCATTGTAGATTGGAAAATATACATTTTTAATTTTTCTGAGTATAAAAAATCGTGTCAGCGGCACGTTACGCGGATTTGATGATTGAGTTTGTTAATACACCTCACTAAATGGTGTTCCACAAAATTTCAAGGGGTACTCGCCGTAATTTCGAAAATACAAATCATTTATATCAAAATTGATACTGTCATTTGATATCCATATTGAGGTAGTTGTGAAAAATTATGTAATCCGTCATTTTGTATCTGTGGCCATTTTGGATTTCCACTGATACATTATTCATCAAATTGTATTGTCATTAAAACCAAATATGTGTACCAAATATCAGATCAATCTGTCAACAAACAGGGGGTCAAACTTCAACTACTTGATTTCTTTTCTCTATTTATTTCTATCATTATTTAAATGTTTCGTGAAAGCAGCTGCTTTAACTACTCCAGTTAGTTGCATTGCATTATTATTTCGTTGAACTCAGATGAGCTGAATGGTTGGATATACTTCATGAAGTTATGAACTATGTATTATAAATATCATAAGTATCATTTTTCGAGATTATTATTCATATATGGATTCCTATCCACGTGCAATTTCTGACTAAGAACACCGACTGAGTTACTATGCTATTTAGCAAAACTACTAGAAGCCGTTATTGGGACTAGATAATATGAAGTGTCACACATAAATATTACTGTAGTTTTAATCTTCCTCTTTCAAGATGATCACTTGGTGATCGAAACACGTGTCGAAGTGTTAAAAATAACGATTTGGTGTTGGGAAAAAACTCCAGTAATATTCATTACTACATCAAAGATTCCAAACAGTGCATCATAAGTCACACATAAAGTTCGCGACATATGTTTTTTTTATTATTAATTATAATAAAAATCTGACTTGGCGGTTAGTTTGTGCTTGAAAAATCAGTGAAATACACCCTCTTTCCTTTTGTCATGTGCTACTCTGACCCTGTCAAATTTCACATTTTTTTCGAATATCCTCAAAAAATCTGTTTTTTTTGTAAATTCCGTAAAATGCCAAATAAAAAAGTTGCTCGGTTTCCAATTTCATACCTTGTTCGAGCAAAACATGATTCATATTTCATAATTTTGATAAATACGAGACTTCAATGTCATATCTTGCCCAGAAAATACCCGCATTGGCCTGTTAGAAGAAAAGGAAATGAATACATTTTCTGAAATTCGTCTTTGTTATTACAAAGTTCATCTAGAGTTTTCATTTTGATTGTTAAACTGATTTGGATTTTGAATGTATATCAGAGTAATCGAATAAATGTATTTCTCTTCATTCTTATTACACTCGCATTCCTTTTTTTTAGCAGATTTGCATCCCATTAGCTTCAGTTGAGTTCGAAATATGTTGATGCAGTTTACACCCAACAGTGTGACTGTTGGTCACTCCCGAATAACCCTATAGAAAAAAAAGTCCATCGGAGATAAGTTCGTTGATCTTGGTGGCCAATAATCTTCCCAGTCTCGTCCTGTCACTGACTGTTTCACTTCTACTGTTTAGTGGATCAGTGCCCCATCAAGCTGATACCACAAATTTCGTCAACACTCAGTGGCAGTTTATCCAAAACTTGAGACAATTGATTCAAAATGAAATTTCCCTACATGTCTGCGTTCAAATTTTCTCCAAAAAAATATAGTACATTTATTTGGTTATGTAATAACTCACACGAAACATTTGTCTTGAATGAATATTGGTCATGGAATTCTACTACAAAATTTGGATTATTGTTGAACCACCAGCGACAATTTTGGGAACTAACTCTTCTGTTCGACGTGAAAGTTGCCTCATCTGTCTATACAATTCCGTAGGGAAATGCGATATCATTTTCTCTCTCACCTTGGAAACAAAATGAAAATCCTACTCAAATATCGGAATCTCTTCTTTCAAGAGTGTGTATGAACTTTGGCTTATAGGAATTGAATTTATTTTTTATCGAAATCCTTCTACTAGTTTTTTAGGTTTCAACAACGCTAAAACAAACATTGAATTGTTTCTCTTATCCTTTATTGAATTATGTGGTTTGTTGAAACGATTGTCCCGGAGCCAGTTTCTTTGAATGTTTTCAATATCCTTCCCAAGGTACTTAAGTGAATATTTCTTCCTGAAAGCCGGTGATTGAAAATCACCATCTCGATATGGCAAATTCTCACCATATAAAAGAACGATTTCCACTTTGTCTTGTGTGGATAACATTGTACATAAAACTTATTTGTGAATGTTGAATCTACGAAAATCTGTACAGAAAACAACTAGATCCATTGAACGCAATAATTTGACATTAACCGAAACTAATAATTTGTTTCAAAATCCTACTGAAAAAAAATTTTATTTCGTTTTAATCAGTACCTACTATTTTCTTCTCGACATGTTGCATTTGTCTTGTAATGTTTAAAATCACGAAATTTCATTATTAGATATGAAACTATAGGTCAATGTTTAGTTTACAGAAAAATATAATATTTCGGGTTAGTTTGTAACTGAATAATTATTGGTCAGAAAAATAATCAAACTAGATAAAGATCTATTAAAAAAGGACTACGAGGGTAATAAGAATGAAGAGAAATATGTTTATTCGATTACTGACATATTAACGTCCATACATTGGAAATCCGTATCAGTTTAACAATGAAATTAAAAAACTAGATGAACTTTGCAACAATAAAGACTAATTTCTGGAGGTGTATTCATATCTTTTTCTGGTAACAGGCCAATGGGGGTATTTTCTGGGTAAGGTATGTCATTGAAGTCTCCTATTCATCAAAATTATGAAATTTAAATCAGGTTTCGTTCGAATCGATAGAGCGAAAGATTCGAAAAAATTGGAAAAAAGTCGAAGTGACAGTAAAGAATCCAAATTTCGAGCAAGGGCATGAAATTGGAAAGTGAGCAACTTTTTTTGGCACTTTTCGAAATGAAAAAAATGTTTTTGAGGATTTTTGAAAATATGTCAAATTTGACAGGTTCAGGGTAGAACATGACAAAAGAAAAGATGCTGTTTTCTACTCATTTTTCAAGTGTAAACCAACAGAAAAAACAATCAGAAAAAAAACTTTCATATGTCGCAAGCTGTATGTGTGACACTGTTCACAGATATGTTAAAATAGTGTTTGTCCCTATGTTGTAATACTGTTTTAAACGACTTATTCAGAGCCGTGGTTGTAGCTTTTGAAAAAATAACCCCACTGGCATTGAGTTATTCATTTTCTGATGACAACATCTTATACAGGGTGAATCAACAAAATTTCCTTTGTTCATTGTTATCAGAAGAAACAATTGTTTGAATTGGTAATTTTTTTTGCAGTCAAATTGATCAATACTATCTTTGAAAATGATTTCCTCGCATACTGGATTATTTAGCCGAGCGTAGCCAACTAAAGTTATATTTTTTCAAAAAGAACACCCAGTATATGAATACGTCATTCGATTCCATATTATTTTAGTTCTCTAAGAAATTTTTGTTTTCAAATTTCCATTGCGGCATTCCAGAAAAACATACTTTGTAGACAATATTTTTTTAATTCACCAAATGTCTACAGAAATTAAGTAGTTTTTTTTTAGGAATAGTTAGTCAATATCACTATGATAATTTCTGGAATCTCAACTTTCCGAAAAATATATAGTCGGTCAAGTTTCATTAATTTTCAAACAGACATGTCTTTTTTTTCAAATGGAACACGCTGTATTTTTGTAGGAAATATTTCAACATTTCACAAGTTTTAGTAATTGCTGTAACCACAAAAAATGTATTTTCCTACGTTCCCTTACTTAAATTTGTTTTTCGAATATTCAAACTAATCGCTAGTACATTAGCTGATAGTTATCAGCGGTTTCAACGTTAAAAAATGTGTTAAAA